CTGAGTTCAGGGCTTACGGACTGATCGCAAACCCACAAAAGAAACAAGAGACAACGGGAGCACGAATAATAAAATACCAAAGGGTCGAGGCCCGTAACAGATCAGATGTGATGTGAAATTTTTACTTAGACTTGGACACAGTAACTCACACACCACAAGATATTACAACAAGCTAAATCAGAGATCTCAACCTGGTCCCCGTGAGGCGTCGGTGGGGGCAGTTCATCAGCACAGAAGCAGTTTATGAGGAGCCCAGCCCATATTACATGAGGGTCATTCCACGCCTTTTCAACAAATGGCCCACGCACTTCGATCTCAAAAAAATTGAAAAAAGTGAGGGGAGTATGTGTCCATTTATTAAAAATTGAAGGACCTTCATAAAATACATATGTTTGGTACCATATGAAAGGTCTTTGTCTGATCTTTCAGGAAAAAAAATTTTTTCATCACTACCCACATGCCATAAATTACATGTGAAAATCAGACCATTTTTTTAACAGGGCCCTCACACATAACCTATTTCAAATTTTCAACAGTTGGTGATTTTTTTTTTTTAACAGTCCTAGTACAAATCTTGATTCTCAAAAAAATTCAAGGGTCTCCGACATCTACAAGTAGGTTTAAAAAGCGGCTAAAAATGGTACACCACGGAAATGAACGATTTTTTAAATTTATTTTTAAGTTCATATAAAATGACAATGAGTTGAGATACCAAACTTTCGATAGATGTTATTTGAACACAGAGTAGATGAGCACAAGCCTACAAAATTTCATCCCTGTATGTGTGATACTTACGGAGATATCGAAATGTGAAAACGGCCGAGAAAAAATGACGTGCATTTTGGGCCCGTAAATTGATACATACTCCCCTCACTAAATGAGCTGTAACTTAAAAAGTAATGATCGAAAATGACTAAAATTTCACAGCGTTGGTACATGAGAGTAAGGGACCAGCTGGTAAAATTTTTTAAAAAACATGATGCGTGAGATTTTCTGTAAATTTGATGAAATGGCGTGGAATGACCCATGATCGTTATATCCACAATGCAACGTGTGTATCTGTACAGGCCCATGTGTGACATTGGACACTGTACAGAGATCTGTGATGTCTGTGGTATTGATGTCACTCTAGACTAGGATAAGTAGATTCAGGCGAAGGACCAACATCTCCATGGAGACAAACACCAAATAAGTTCTGGCACACACTGCAACAGCTGAGCCGCTGTAACCAGACCAAACCGCGCTCAGCTTGTGAAATCGGACGAGATCGTACATTCTCAAAGTGCCACATAGACTTTAAGGTACAAAACTTTTCTGGGGGACGGTCCGTAGAGTGACTAGAATTTCAAAATAAAAAACTGAGACCTCCCTGTTTTTTTGGTGGTTGGTAATAATGAAATTGTGAAATGAAAATTGTTACGCAGAGAACATTCACGCTGAACATGTGCACTGGAAAAAATAAAATAAAATCTAGGTAAGTGAAAATGACTTAAATTAACAACATTTTACTTTATTTGCGTCGATTCAACTTGACAAGTCAAATGGAATAAGTGTGTTTTTTCTTAATTCAAGCAACATTTGATTTTTTTTTTTCTCATTTTAAGTGCAAAAAGTTGTTGTTTTTCTTATATTAAGTGTAGCAAGATGTATTTTTATACTTTAAGTACAAAAAGTCTTGTTCCACTGGCAGATCATTTTACTTGTCAAGTGAAATTTACGCAAATCACGATAAAACTTTTTAAATTCAAGTCGTCTTAACTTGGCTAGATTTAGTTTTTTTTGTAGTGTGAGTCAGTACAGTCACATTTTCTTTGTGTTTTGGTTGTTTTTAAGCAGATTTTTTTGTATTTTACCAAATCAAATTAAAATGTATGCATCTCTTTACTGTTGGCGGGGATTAAATGGGTCAAAAATAGGGACATCTGGGACATTTCTTGTATAAAACTGGGACAAATCAGTGGTTTTGGATAAATCCACTGGGACAGGGGACACAGGCTCAAAACTGGGACTGTCCCGGGTAAATAAGGGACGTCTGGTTACACATTAAGGCTCCATCCACACTAGTTCATATTCGAGTTGTTTTCGTTGTGGATGCAGTGTTCGTTCACACTAATCCGATGGAAAACGGCTCCAGAGACGGAACAATCTGGTGCCTCCAGCTCCCACGAATTCATTTGAGTACAGATCTGATCCGGCACCGCGTGGACGCCTGAAAACACTGATACTCTGATGTAGGAGCTCTAGTCACGTCCTTATTGGACCACGTCACTGTGACTTGCGCCTTCCTGATTCGCTGGGTTCGTGACATTGATCATGTGACGCTAATGCCGAAAACAGTTTAAACAAACCAGAGGTAAACGTCTTAAAATCCAGTGTTGTTAAGAACTGAACCTCGGCGTCGCTCCATGAAAAGACTGTATTCACACTTGCCATCTTCCTCGGCTCGAAATCAGCTGCTGTAACTTCAGACACGGTGCTCCACTTCCATGTTTTGAAAACCCACGTAATGTCGTGACGCCAGCCGAGTCATGTGACGAACGTTTCGGGCGGTTTCGAGTTACTGTGTGGATGGGAAGGCTTTGATTGCGGACACAGAAACGACGTGTCTGGAACGCAAATCGTTTCCAATACAGTGATACGGTGATTCATTTAAGTGTTTCTTTCTATCTTCATCAAGACCAAGCCAGACTAAGGCTGCGTTCAGACTGCAGGGCTTAACGCTCAGTTCGGATTTTTCTTGTGAAATCCGATGTTTTTGCGAGGTCGTTCACATTTCCAATTAAATGTGACTTGTATGTGACTCCAGTGTGAACATTAAACGGTGTAAAAGTGTCTCACATGTGACACTGGAGACACGATGACGTCAACCGCAGCGAGCGTCTCTGTGTTTACAGAAGTTGTCCAAACACGGATGCGAGCATTGAGCACCTGGAGATTTTAAAGTTCCTCTCGTACCGGAGCCAGAACATGAACAACTTACTTGTTTTAAGGAGGAGATTAAGAAGGAGAAGGACGAGGTTTTAGGCCGTGGTGTTTTGTGGGACAGTGTCTATTGAAAGGAACGTGTGGATGTGGAGACGTACCCAAGAGTGGTGAGTGGCGATGTGCTTCACTTCAGTGACACAGAGTTCATTAACAATTTTCACCTACTTCAGCGCAGAATAGTGATGTTTGTGGCTTGTTGATAACGTGTAGGTGGATGAATGTGCGTTGGCCGTTCACACTAAAGTCGCATGTCAAAAGATCAGATATGTATCAGTTTCAGGAGCACATATCCAAGTGTCCTGGGTCACATTTGAAAAAATCGGATCTGTGTCGTTCAGACTGTCATTAAAAGATCAGATACAGGTCACATAGGCTACGTTCAGACTGCAGGGCTTAATGCTCAATTCCGATTTTTTTGTGAAATCCGATGTTTTTGCGAGGTCGTTCACATTTCCAATTAAATGCGACTTGTCTGTGACTTCAGTGTGAACGGTAAACGGCCCGAAAGTGTCCCGCATGTGCACTGGAGGACACGATGACGTCAACCCCATGCGTCAACCGCAGCGAGCGTGCTCTGTGTTTACGGAAGTTGTCCAAACATGGACGCGAGCATTGAGCACCTGGAGATTTTACAGTTCCGGTTTCCGCCTGCTTCAGCGCAGAATAGTGACGTTTGTCGCTTGTTGATGACGTGTAGGTCGGACGGATGCGCTTTGGCCGTTCAGACTGAAGTCACAAGTCAAAAGATCAGATATGTATCAGTTTCAGGAGCACATATCCAAGTGGCCTGGGTCGCATTTGAAAAAATTGGATCTGTGCCATTCAGACTGTCATTAAAAAATCGGATACAGGTCACATAGAAGCCAAAATATTGGATTTGGGTCACTTAAGGCTGCAGTCTGAACGCAGCCATAGGGGCCAAAAAATCGGATTTGGGTCACTTCAGGTTGCAGTCTGAACGTAGCCTAAGTTACAGGTCAGATCTGTGGAGAGGTGACCCCACTCAGAATGCCTGTTTTTCTAGGTATTTTTGAGCAATAAAACCACTTGTAGTTGAATAAATAAGTAAATAAGTAGATAAGTAAGGTGGAGTTTTAATGTCATACTATGGAACATTCGAGGCAGAGCAATGATATATGAAAACAAGCAGATGACAGAACCTCCACAAAACATTTTCCACATTGCACCTTTAAGCCATGTTATACGCTGTTACCTCCGCAAAAAACATGGAGTTGTCTTTCTCATTCAGTATTTTTTTCCTTTATTTTAACAACACTTTACATTTTCTACATCATATATAAGAAGCAAAATATACAGAATTAGGCAGTAAAGAAAAAAAAAGTAAATAACTACTAAATATTTTTCGACAAAGCAAAGGGTGGTTACATTGGGGAGTCTGAATACAAGACATTTACCTCTTTTTCAAATGTTTTAACTACATAATTCCTTATAACTTACTTCATACTGTATATTAGATGTCTTATGTTTGTATATAAAATGCAGAATTCATGTTTTTCTTGGTATTTTTTGAGCTATAAAACCACTTTTAGTTGAATAAATGTAAGGTAGAGCTGTTTAATGTCACACTGTGGAACATTTCATGGCAGAGCAATAACGTATCCATAGAAACAAGCAGGTCGAAAAGTTACACAATACACCTTTAAATGTTCTGGGAAGTTTCCAGAAGAATGCGGAGCAATAACAACAGTTTTAGTTGAGTAAATGTAAGGCAGAGCTGTTTAATGTCACACTGTGGAACATTCCAGGCAGAGCAATGATGTATCCATAGAAACAAGCAGGTTGAAAAGTTACACAATACACCTTTAAACGTTCTAGGAAGCTTCCAGACGAACACGCAGTAACCGGATGCGCCCCTGCTCTCTGAAAAAGCGCATGTTCCACAGCTCTTTGGCGGATTCGGTTTCAGCCCGCCCCTTTTATAACCGTGGGGGGCGTGGCTTGGCGGAGGACGTAAAACGGGGGAGGACGTCCGCGTATATAAAGAGCGTCCAGCCCGTGTTTCCGCACAGAAGAAGCAGAAGCTGACACTCGCGGACCTTGGAGGGTTCAATTTACCCAAAACTTCTTTTCAAATGGGCCCCGTCGCCTAGCGTTTACTCCCCCAGCCTCGCCGACTGACTTGAACCGAGTGCTACGGAACATCAAGCACGACCGGACCGCTAAAAGGTGACGTTTGACCCCGCGTTGTCGAGCGATGATCCCGGGTGGGCTTTTAAAATGGTGGGGTCCGATGCTAACCAGCTAGCCTATGCTAACGCCAGGAGGGGGGCTGTTTTCGTAAAGGGTTAAGAAAAAAATAAATAAAAAAGCTCAGTAATTAAAGTTTAACGCTACAGATTTTAGTTGGATCGGTTTGGATGATTTAAAAGAGATGCTGGTGAATAACGGTCACGGTTTTGATCGCGAGTTTGAGCTCGAATTAAATGTTGTTTATTCGTTGTCTTTTGTTTGAGACAAAGTGTTCCTAGAAATGGACAAAGCTGATACTTTTTTTTTTTCTTTTTACTTTTTTTTTTCTATAATAATATTTTTTGTTGATAATTTCTGCAACTTTGTACGCAACTTGTCACGTCTGCTTTAAAAAAAAAAAAAAGACAATAACGTGTAATATATCTTTTTTAAAACGTGATGCATTATAGAATAGCTGTAATTTTTCGTGAATTGCTTTAACTTATAATTAAAACAATGCATTTTATTTATTTATTTTTTACGTATTTCTTTGTATTTTTTACGTTTTTGTCGATATGTCCTATGTTAGATGTAAACACGTGACGTAATGCTGTGAAAACGTGATGTAAATTACGAATATTTTTGTTGGTAATTTTTGCAACTTTGAATGCGATTTTGAACGCAACTTGTCACGTCTGATTTAAAAAAAAAAAAAAAAAAAAAAAAAGACAATAACGTGTAATATAATTTAATAAAACGTGATACTAAATAGAATAGCTGTAATTTTTTTGTCGTTTGTATTAACTAATAATTAAAACAATGCTTTTTATTTACTTTTACGTATTTCTTTGTAATTTTTTTTACGTTGTCCATATGTCCTATAGTTAGATGTAAACACGTGACGTAATGCTCTGAAAAACGTGATGTACGTGCAGCCGATGTTCCCACGAAGCCCCCACCACCCCCATCCCCCATCGTGCATAGGTCCTTTGCACGAGCATCACCAGGAATATAAAAGGTTAAAATGGTTTAGACAATAAATGCGTACGTATTTTTTTATAGGCTAACTCATTTTGTGCATGTTTACAGTTGTGTGCATCGTCTAATTTTACGGTAAACCGTGTCTGCAGCCATTTTTTGACGATCTGTTTATCGTGACAACAGAACAAAAACACAAAACATGCACTCAGTTTGTCAGATTATTATTATTTATTTGCTTTTAATTTGCTTTAAACAAGTCCAAAATATGATGTGAGCTTAGTTTTGCTAGTGGCAACAATTATCTTGATAAAATATTTTCACGATTTGCATCTCACTGTACGATATTTATTGCGGTATTTTATGTAGCTTTACAAAATTGTGAATATGCTATGTTTCTCTTGTCATAATCCAAATAATTAAGAGTTAAAAGTGCTTAATAACTGTTATTTTAACATGTAGATTGGACTGAAAATTTGCGTATTTAAAGATGTGCAGTCTAACTTTTCTGGTTGAGCATCTGCCACCTGCTCGTCTCCATGGAAATGTTATTGCTTTGCGAACAATGTCCCACAGTATTACTTTATTGCATTATTTTGAGTAATAAACGTTAGGGATGTAACAATAACCGAAATATCGTGATATCATATCGTCAAAGTTCTCACAATAATATTGTGGACCATCACAATATATCGAATTATAAGTTTATTTGTTTAAATTCATTGTTATGGTGCAGCAACAGCTAAAAAACTGAGGGAACTACATAGACCAGTTTCAATCCAATCTGCATGTTGAAATTAGGGTTATTAAGCACTTTTAAATCTTAATTGGATTATGACAAGAGAAAAGCGGCACATTAACAGTTTTGTTCACCTCCACAAAAAGAAAATCGCAGTAAATATCGTACCGTGAGATGTATGTCATGAAAATATCGTACAGAGAGATTTTTATATTGTTACATCTCTAATAAACATCTATATTTGCAATTCAAGATGGATACCTGTAATGCCATACTGTGGAACATACTCTGATAAGAATCACAGTAGTATGTACCTCTTTAAGAATGTTTCCTTGTGTATTCAGGTCAATAGGCCATTATAACAAACCTAACAAAGGCTTTTAAACTACTCCATGACTTCATACTACGTCATTCACACGCCCTTATCCGGGTTTATGATGACTCTCTTCACTCTGTTAATATTTACCTCATGTTTTGGATGTTTGTTTCTCTCTCCAGGTTTCCATCCAGTGTTCAGTGACCAACAGTGTAAGAATGGCAGCTATTCCAGCAGGCGGCTCTCTCGTGGCGACCACTGACTACTACCGAAGTACGTCCACCACACACCGTAACCTTACACTTAAAATATATAGATCTTATAGACTGAAACTGGGTCAAATGTGTTTTTATTTGACTGGAATGACCCTTGAGATGCTCAGTTTTGTTTTCGATTGTGTCCAAAAAACACAAAACATTAGTAATACACAGTAAAATACAGTAGACAGAAGACAAAACTTACAGGTTTTCATTACAAAACATACAACAATACAGTGCAACAGTACCTGATTTATTAAAAAAATAAACAAAAACTGAGTATACATTATTTAACAATGATATAAACAAATGGAATAAAAATAGAACAAACTGACTAACTAAACTAAAAATGTGTTCACTTTGAGATTTATTGCATCTGCTTTAGGAAGTATTAAAAACATAATTACTTAAGTGTTAAACATAATGACTGTAGTCGACGGTGTACTTTATGACCTCGTTATTAAATACAATGAAAAAAAGGCGTGGTCGTTGTGTGAAAACGTTTGAAATCCTCTGAATGATTCACGGTATCGATCGCTGGCGTAAATGTGTGTCGGTATGCGGTTGTGTAACCAGAGGGTCGCGGTTTGTGTTTGTGTACGTTCTATCCATCCTCTTTATCCTTCATCTCACTCCCACTCACGCTTTTCTCTCTCTCTCTCTCTCTCTCTGTCATCTCTCCATCCTCCATCTCTCCCTCCTCCCTCCATCCTCTTCTCGGTGGAGGCAGTTTAAACCGGTTTCATCTGAACAGAACAGCCCCTCACTGTACACTCAATGAGTCCAACCGGATTTACACCACACACACACACACACACACATATATATCTATAATACAAACACTTTGGTCCTGTTTTGGGTCCTGTTTTGGGTCCTGTTTTGGGTCTTGTTTTAGTACAGTAGCCCAGTATTAGTCCTTGGGTTTAGTCCTTGGGTTTAGTCCTTGGGTTTAGTCCTTGGGTTTAGTCCTTGGGTTTAGTCCTTGGGTTTAGTCCTTGGGTTTAGTCCTGGTTTCATGTTAATACTCATTTAACACTCTTTGATCCTGGTTTAGTTCTGATGTAGACTGTTTTTAGTCCTGTTTTAGGCCCTGGTTTAGTCCTAGGTTTGGTCCCTGGTTTAGTCCTAGGTTTGGTCCCTGGTTTAGTCCTGGGTTTGGTCCCTGGTTTAGTCCTGGGTTTGGTCCCTGGTTTAGTCCTGGGTTTGGTCCCTGGTTTAGTCCTGGGTTTGGTCCCTGGTTTAGTCCTGGTTTCATGTTAATACTCATTTAACACTCTTTGATCCTGGTTTAGTCTTGTTTTAGTCGCTGGTTTAATCCTTGGTTTAGTCCTTGGTTTGGATCCTAGTTTAGTCCTGTTTTGGGACCTGGTGTAGTCCTCTTTTTGGGTCCTGGTTTAGTCCCTGGTTTGGACCTGGTTAAATCTCAGTTTTCATGTTAACACAAATTTAACACACTTTCTGATCCTGGTTTAGTTCTGATATAGACTGTTTTTAGTCCTGGTTTTCATGTTGACACACATTTGATCCTGGTTTAATCTTGTTTTAGCCCTGGTTTAGGTTCAGTTTTAGTCCTAGGTTTGGTCCCTGGTTTAGTCCTTGGTTTAGTCCCGGTTTTCATGTTAACACAAATTTAACACTCTTTGATCCTGTTTAGTCCCTGTTTTTAGTCCCTGTTTTGGATCCTGATGTAGTCCCTGGTTTCATGTTAACTCACATTAACATTTTTTTATCCTGTTTTAGTCCTTTCTTTGGGTCCGTGGTCTGGTCCGTGGTCTGGTCCGTGGTCTGGTCCGTGGTCTGGTCCGTGGTCTGGACCGTGGTCTGGTCCGTGGTCTGGTCCGTGGTCTGGTCCGTGGTCTGGACCGTGGTTTCATGTTAACACAAAATTAACACACTTTGATCCTGGTTTAGTCCTGTTTAGTTTTTAGTCCCTGGTATAGTCCCGGTTTTAGCCCCGGTTTTAGTCCCAGTTTTCACTCTGTTTCTCTGTGTTCTCAGGGCGCATTGGCTCGACGTCCAGCAGCAGCTCGTGTGGCAGTTCGGAGTACAGTGGAGAGGTCATCCCCCACCATCCAGGTATCGCTCCAACGCACCCACAAAAACACCACTATCATCTCATTAACTGAATTTTAATTATAATTAGGATTACTGTGATAACAAATTTTGATGTGCGATATATTGCTGAAGTAAACAGAGACTAAAAATGATAATGTCAAGACAGTAAATCAGAATTATCCCCCAAAAAATTACTCTAAATGTACAATATTGTTGAAATAATATGAGCTGCGATAAACAAGTAAATGAATGCAACAGTTAAATAACACTCTACAGCTGAAAAATGACCAACATTTTCCCACTAATACAAAAGAAATTGTCCACCATGATAAATAAATAATATCTGTTATGTATTAAACAATAAGTCGAAATAGTTTTTATAATGACAGGCCTGATTATAAATGTAAAAAGAGAAAGTTAAAAGTAAAAATCTTGTGTCATAAATTACCGTGTTGTGTCATAAGTCTCTGGTGCTTTATGTCTCCAGAGCTGCTGTGCCATATCTGGGGGAGCTCCATATTTGCGGAGTATTTTGTTTCTCCTCTGACTCGGCGTCTCCTCGGGTTTAGTCACCGCTCTGTGAATCCCACACGTGTCATTACCACATTACCGCTGAGTTTACTTACTCAATTTGACAAAAAAACATCTAGAATTTTACTTCTTTTACAGCAGAAGTGACATAACGTGGCACCCATAATCTTAACGATGCACAATAGACTTTTACTACACTTTTACTTTATTACATGAAGGTTTTAACAGTCAGAAACGGTCGCCTTTTTTTTTCCTCATAAATTGCCTCTGCATTTCTTACATTTACCATTGAGCGACCTACGCAAGATTTGACAGAAATATGACCTAGTTTCACATTTATAATTTCACTTCCTTTGCTTCAACATGACCATAACGGTTACCTAGCAACCGTAACGAAAACGATGCACAACAGTCGTTATAAATTAGTCATAATATATTACAACATCTGAATTTTTTTTACATGAATGTTTTAACTGTTAGAAAAACGGCTTCTTTCTGCATACCATTTTTTTCAGACTATAAGTCGCACCAGCCAAAAAATGCACAATGAAGAAGAAAAAAAACATATAAGTTATATTTTGGGGAGGAAATTTATTTGATAAAATCAGCAACCAGGAACCGACATTTCATCTTAAAAGTCAAGTTCTACTAAAAACAGTAGAACAGAGAACAACAGACTGTAAATGTCACATAATTATTAATTATTAATCATATAATTTAATTTTGGATGAAATTAAAAGCTTTCAAGTGTGCCCTATAGTGCAGAAAATACGGTAGCTTTTATTCTGATTTTAAACAGATTTGCACACAGAATGGCTGGTTTTTGTGTTTGTTTTTTCATATTTGAGCTTCATATTTGCTCAGATTTGTACATAGACTCACTTTATTGCAATTACTTTGACACGGAAACTCGCACGTCACAATTTTTCGCAATGGCAAATATTAAAAGCGATGTAGAAATGGTAAGAATGCGTTCCAAATAAGTATCTCCTGAAAATCTGCCCGTACATGTGCGTCTCTGGGGAGCGTCGGTTCATCTTGACCTAGTTCCGGAATAACTTTGGCTCCGACCTTTGGCACACTTTTTCTGTCACGCAGCCAGACGCTCCGCAGGCTTCAGTGTAGGATTCCCCCTCAGGCTCAGTCCGGGGCATTCGATAAAACGGGTTAATAAACGACTAAACGTGTCATGTTTTACGCCTGGAAACACAAAGTCAATAGTTACGGTGCGTTATTGCCAAAAAAAAAAACGCGGGACTCTTCGTGTTCAGTGTGGAACGATCACAAAGCTGCAGATGCTCTACCGGAAAAGTTACACGGTGTATCTTTAAGTTCACGTCGTCTTCTGGTGAACGCAGCATTTTAATGTCTAAACGCATGAGGTGAAGACTTTACCAGAGGATAAAAATATTGAGACATAATGAAAATGAACTGAAACTGTAATAATCTACGTACAGAAATGGGAAAGGCAGGTTTATTTGTAAAGCACAGTTCGTACACAAAGGACATTTTATTCTCTGGCTTTTAACATCGCTTGAGTTGTGTGGTCCTCTGTGTTTTTATTTTTTGTTTTTTTTATTGTATTTTTATGTTTTATTTATTTTTATTTTTATTTATTTTTATTTAATTTATTTTTATTTAATGTATTTGACTGGGTTTATTATTTTAAACTGCTGAAATAATCATACTAGTCTTATTTCTATAGCACATTTCAGTTTCCAAAGTGATAAAATACATAATAACAATAAAATTATGAAATAAAATGGAGAATTCAAAGTGCTTTACAGAATAAGAAAGACATTAAAATCACAAAACAAACAAATGGAAATTAAATTCAAAAAGAGAGAGAGACATTAAATGAGAGAGAAGAGTGCAGAATAAATTTTTTTTAGTTAATCGAACCGTTTTCTCATCTTTTTTCTTTTTCTCATCTTCAGGAAGACTGTCCCAGGTTTTAGCGGCAGAAAATACATACCTCGATACGGTGATCTTACCATTCAATAAAAAAATAAAGGCTAAATCATGGCTGTGATACTGAAAGTCTTTGTTAAACCACTTCTTGTGTAAAGTGAAGATGAAACACGCCCAATTTAATCATCAAAACAGTGAAAATGTCAAACGTGTCGCATAAATGAGTTTCCTTCCTCTGAACAAGCAGCCCACGATGTTGATACTGTATTATGACATTAAACGATACCTGAGTCCTGGTTCGAGTCAGGACCTGTGCTAAAAAATAATGGGGTAGTCTTTACTTAAAATAAACAACCTAATACAATTTTAAATGGTTTTATTTTATATTTTGCATTTTCACAAAGAGACACAGTGAGCTGACGCGCTGCTGTGCTCAGAGCGTCAGTGTCCTAGAACAAGTCCATACTTTTCTGGACCTGTCTGTAACTGTTTTAGATTATTTTAGATTACGTTTTTGCAGCATTGGTTATTTCAAGTTTCATTTCCTGTTTCTCAGTTTCCTTTTATTGCGTCACGATCTCAGCAGCCGCGCAGTAAAGGAAACTTCAGAATGTTAAAGCTGTAATGAAACTTGAAAACGTGTATTTTAAATTAATCTAAAACGTCCCTTCTTGTTCTTTAAAGCTGCACAGTAATTTCTTGGTTGGAGTCCTTCACCTGCTCGTTTCTATGGATCTGTCGTTAAGTCGTTTTTTTTAACCTGATATCTCTGGTGTGTTCGCAGGTCTCCCGAAGCAGGACTCGGGTCATTGGTGGTCCAGTTTCTTCTTCGGGAAACAGCCTGGGATGACCCCGCTCACGGAGGAGGCACAGCAGAAGTGAGTAACTCTAGACACCGACTCGAGGCTCAGGGCAGTGGACGAAGGGACAAAGGGGTCTGTTGTCCCGGGTTTTAGGCAGGGCTGGGGATCATTTTTAGAAGTTGCCGATACGATACATGCCTTGATACAGTGAGCTTTCGATACGATTCAATAAAAAATAAAGGCTAAATCATAGTTGTGACAAAAAAAAAGTCTTTGTTAAACCACTTCTTGCGCAAAATTTATATGAAACACAAACATTTAAATCATCACAACGGTGAAAATGTCAAATGTGTCGCAGAAAAAAAAAAAAATTCCTTCCTCTCTAAACAAACAACAAAGCTGTAGTGCTGAAAATACACCTAAAAATACTCTTGGTGATATATCGAAACAGCAGCCCACGATATCGATACAGGGTTCCTACGGTGTCTTACAAAAATCTTAAAAGCATTGAATTTATGAATTTGGAAATAATAACCTTTTAAAATTTTTATTACTGGGTCTTAAAATTTGTGATGTACGTAACTTCTCCGTATTGCATTTCTCTTCAGAAGTTTAATTTGTCAGCCGCAATTATTTGGTTAAATGACGTCGCCTAAATAAAGAGCGGCGGAACCAATAATTGAGAACGAGTCAAAATCCTTTGAACGCGTCACTGAAGATCACTCGCTACAACAACACAAGCAACAAGCTCAGCAGAAGGATGTAAAATCACAGAAAATCTCAGCAGAACACAAAGTTTGACTAATGCCGTTGCTTTTGAACGTTGGTTTTGTTACCGAGCAACACTCTACTCCCCAGATTCCTTTTGTTTGAGAAATAAATGAGTAACTCTGAAGTAGGCTGTGAAATGGGTATTAAGTTTTATATAAATGGTCTTAAAAAGTCTTGAATTAAACTTGAAGTAGCCTGTAGGAACCCTGTATCATTAAACAATACGATATATCGATATTTTAATATTTTTGCACACCCCTTGTTTTAGATGCTCAGAATTTCACCCTTTTCTTAAAGGTTGTATGGAGGATTTTTTGTTTGTTTTCAAATTGTAATGGCATTTTAAACTTTCACTGACAGAGATGCAACAGCCTTGTAATTATGACCAAAAAAGAAAAGAATGAAAATTGATCAACTGTGGACGTAGTGAGGCCAGAGAAACATCAGCCAATAGAAAACGAGGCTGCCTCATTTTCTATTGGCTGTTAGGTTGTCAATCAATCTCCCTACGTTTCTAGTGTAACTGACTCGCCGGCGCTTGGGGATTACGTGGTTTATGCAGCGGTTTTTAGAGGCTTTTTTTAAACTGTAGCTTCCTCGCATTTTGCACAAAGTTTGTTGCGATGGCGGATGAGAATCCACGACCAGTTCGCCGCAAGAGAAAGTCCGTTTTTTGAGGTCGCTGAAAAGAAGAAAAGTGGAAAGGAGCGAAGACAAACTGAGGTGATTCTTGGAGGATTCCTTCCAGCGATGGCGCGACTGAAGCAGACAAAGGGTCTAAAAAAGGTCGCTAAATTATTTCTGGCCAGGTCACTTCAACAGTAATTCTGAACGTGCAGTGGCTGTAAACAAACGTGATTTCTAGAGTAAAGAGGTGGGAGGAGATGTTTCTACTGAGGGAGCTGTGGAGGAGGAAGTCACGGATGCACATTTGAAAAGGGACTGTCGCTGTATTTCTTTTCCCTTTTAAAAAAATAAAAATAAAAAAATCTATACAACCTTTTCTTATGACTTTATATTAGAGGGGGGCCCATGTGAAGCTTCTTGCCCCATAGGCCCTTAAATATCTGTCACTGGGCCTGTTAAAATGACATTTGCATATCTAAACAAAAAGAATACAGACTTTTAATCAAGTAATTTATATTAAAAATTGGGTCAAAACTAAAATAACAGTAGTTTTACCAGTCTCTTGTGTGTTCTCTTTTATGAATAGTAAAACTGCTCATTATCAGTGTTTGATTTTAAGATTCTGAAGATCAAAACAGCATTAAAAACCAGAGAAAACAGCCGTTGATGATTGCTCAGTTTGTGTAGGCGTAATTTTTAAAGCAGCGTGTTCCACCTCAAACCACAGAAGGGACCAGCTGTGAGTCAGAGTTCCTCCTTCAGTATCACTTCCTGAGGGTGCAGTTTCCCATTTTAGAACAGAATTTTGATGACTTGGGACGAAGGGCGGGGTCGGAACACAGCGTACACTTGGATTTATAAGTGTTTGACCAGAAAACTGCAGTAAAAAAATGACCAGGAACTGTAGATGACTCTTTAAAACGCCATATACGCAGTTAATTAGTTAAAGGCAGATTTAGTGTTTACTTCCACTGAATAAAATAACAAATAATACCATAAATTATCATTGGCTCTTACTCTAGTCTTGATTTTGGATGAGGACCACTTGTACTATTCAAGAATTGGGCAAAAATGTACCTAATTATGTTAAAAGTGTATTGTAGGGTTTGTCAAATGCTTTTCTCCATGGAAATGTTATTACTTTTTCTATAATGTTTCAAAGCAGTTCAGTATCTTTCTGTCTTCTTGGAGACCAAACCAGACCAAGTTACAGGTCAGATCTGTGGAGAGGCAACCCCGCTCATGCAGAATAACTGTTTTTGAGTTATTTTTGAGCTATAAAACCATCTGTAATTGAATACAAGTAAATGTAAACATAGAGCTATTTAATGTCTTACTGAAGAAACAAGCAGGTGGGAAAAAAAGAAAAATTACACAATGCACTTTTAATATATTAATAAAATAAGATATATTCAGTACATTTTTTAGTATCTGGGTTTCATATTTTTGTACAACCCCTAAGTGTTTGATTACCCAACTCAAACTGTACCACATACATGTCATATTTAATCATGTTTGTGCAGTAAAAGTAACAGAGCAGTAAAGGTAAAAGTAACAGTGTAGTAAATGTAGAAGTAACGGGGCAGTAAAAGTAAAAGTAACAGGGCAGTAACAAAAGTTGCAGTTGCAGTAAAAGTAGTTAGTAGCAGTTAGGGGTGTGCAGAAATATCGAAATATCTATCTTATCGTTTAATGTGGTGATACAGCACCACGCGATATCGATACTGTATCGATTATACAAGTTTATTTTACTAAATTATTTTGTTACAGCTACAGTTTAATTGTTTGTTCAGAGGAAGAAAACTCGATTATGCGACACTTTTGACATTTTCACTGTTTTGATGATTAAAATGTTTGTGTTTCATATGAACTTTGCACAAGAAGTGGTTTAACAACGACTTTTAGTATCACAAACATGATTTAGGCACTATTTTTATTGAATTGAAATGGAACGTATCGAATAGAAAGTGCACAGTAACGAGGTTTGTATCGTATCAGCAACTTCTTAATGATGCACAGTCACAGTACAGTAAAGTAAAGTAAAAGTATAGTAAAGTAACAGTACACTAACAGTCTCTTCTCTTCTCTCAGGGCGGGGGTCTCGGGGGTCGTGACCAACGGGCAGATCACGTGCGTCGCCCGGGAGATGGTGATGAGGAGGCAAGTGAGCGAGAGCAGCGAGGCGGGGGGTCCCACCTCACCCTGAACCACCCCCAACACCCACCCCTCCCCACCCAGCACCCACCCACCCGCAGCACCCACGGCAGACCAGACCAGACCAGACCAGACCAGACCACCGCCCAACGCTAGGTGACGGGACAACAGCCCAGAAACTACCTTTTTTGTTTTGTTTTTTTGTTTTGTTTTTTTATATCGTCAGTAGTATAGGCTGCGTTTTTTTGGTAACCCCCATGTTTTTTATTGACTTGCCAAAAGTTAAAGAAGAAAAAAAATTAAAATAAAAAATAAGTTGATATTTTGTAACATTTGTACTGTTCTCACTGTTTACACATGCCTTCGTTGAACATGCCACATTTTTCACCTTGTGATGATAATAAAGAGTAGACCGTGCAGCCTGATCACGCTCCCGACTCCTTTTGTTCACAAATGCACCACAGATTTTTACTTTGAGTCATAATTTGCTGTGACATACCACTAGGGGTGTTCTACGTGCATTTTTATGGTGGAATGTTTAGCAGTTGCCATGGAGATGTAGTTTACACATCAACAAGCACAGACAAAACGGAGCTTCTAACAGTAGTGCTTTCAGGGCCTGTTTACACGAGAACACTTGAGGGTAAAAATGACTAAATATTTATTGGAAGTGCCTTTCATGTAGACTGTGAAGGTGTTTTTGGGGCTTAAAAACACAAAAATGTAAAATAAAGAGTTGAATACACTCCACCGTAGTGTTTGTCTACCCTGGCCAAGACGCAAAACTCTGGTCAGATCTGCTCAGGTCACGTACACGTTTACGTCACATGCATACAGTACACAGAAACAAACATGTCGGATCTTCAAGCTGAATCCGTGTATCATTCATTCATCCGTTTTTCAATATAAAACCAAAAATAAGAAAATTTTATAATTTGTCTCCAAAACCAAAATGAAAACATGGATAATGATTTGTTTTTTCAGTTTTTGATTTTGTGTTTAAATGAATAATAGAAAAAAATAAACTGCAATGCCGGTCTGAACCAGGACAACCAGGTCCGACCAGACCAGAACTGAGACTGGGACTGAGACCAGGACTGAAAACAGTTCAGTCCAGTTCTGGTCCAGTTTAAGTCACGGAAACAGGAAACGGCCGTTATCAGTTTTTTCATTATTCATTGAAACACAAAATCGAAAAGTGAAAAAACAAATCGTTATCTGTTTTTTCATCTTGGTTTTGAAGACAAATAATGAAGAAAACTTTTTTTTTTTTCATTTTCTTAATTTTGGTTTTATATTGAAAAAGGAATGAATGAATGACACATGGATTAAGTTCTTTCAGCTCTAATAAACTTACAGGAGGCTCCCAACAAATGTGGAGAATCTGCAGAGATACTATCAGTGAACAGAGAAGGATCTGCAATCACCTCTGTCAAACTCTGGACGCACCAGGTCGTCGCAGGCGAGTCAGACGGATCTGGACGAGACCTGGAGAACCGGTCGATGGTGGAACGACTTTGTGTAAGGAGTAACTGATGAAAATGCGTGGTGTGAAAACTTCTGTATGTCCAAAGACGCCCTTGTTGCTACAAACATGAAAAAAAGTAAAACATACAAAATGTAGCATCCAGTCGAACTGAGAAGGCCAGAACTGATGGTTAAATGACTTTTAATCTTTCCTTGCCGTGTCATAGAACCAACGTAAGAGCTAGACAAGAACAAAATAACAGCAATTACTATACGATTACAGCATCACTAGCTCATTACATTGCTTAACCGTTATCCATATTTAACATTAATTTGATACAAAATTATTACAAATGACAAGAAGTTCAAATATACATTAACAAGTCAAACAAACCTTGTTCCCCTGTCGACTGTAGCTATCTTTACTTTGTTTTATATAACTTTTTTCCGTTGTTTTGATTTTCACTATTAACGTTGCCGTGTTTACTGTGCGTCGTTTCTTTATAACAAGCTAACTTTTTTTCCTTCACTTCCGTTCACACCGGAAGTCACCAAAATAAAAGCGCAACCTTACAATTAAATGCCATAAACTGCGTGTTAATGTATATAAGAGCTAACTTGACCTTTACACAAAAGTACAAACATACATAATCGAATTCCACACACTTTTGCATCACTGTATGCACGCAAATCTGAAATTATGAACGCAACCTATAGGAAATAATTAAACTCTTAACAGTGCAAAAAACAGTGTAGTGAAAAAAGTTAAAATCTTAATTAAGTCATCTTTCTTTTGTTTCTATAGTTGATTTTGTAGAAGTGAAGCCTGTTTCGTCAGTTTTTGTTGGCTCCTTTGTTCAAACAACTTTGGGCAAATGGACATTGTTTAAAATAGTTCATGTTTGGCTGCAGGTTTAAACACACACAGGTGAACCATGTCCCGTGTTGTACAGTGGAATGTACAGACACACGTGTTTGGACCTGGTTTATGCTGTGTACATACAACAACGTGCTACAAAAACTGGTGCAAAGTTCAACATTTATGAAATATTTTCAAAAGTTCTTGAGGCTGTTCCATCGACGAGGGCCGCAGTGTTGGAAAGACGCCTTTCCGAAGTCACCGCGTCACCGTATGCAGCAGGTTTCCTCCTGAAAACGCTCGACTAAACGCGGAATAAAAAGTGAAGACGAGATGCCACTTTTGCATCTTCTGTTCAGACGTGATCATAGTTTAGGCCTTTGCAATTTATGCTTGACAAATGAATAAATGATCGTATTAGCGCCCTCTGCTGTGGGCGGTGCCAGTTCTCTTCTGCTTATTCATTGTTTTAAATTATCTGTAACATCTTGAATTACATTAAAGGCTTTGAATCTGATTTTTATTGTCTCAAAAATGTAAAAAAAAAAAACAGAACTATAGTTTACTCCTCACTCACTTGTATCCAGATCACTCTAATTATTCACCACCAGGAGTTCGGCGCTTTTCACAACTCTCAGCGAACAGAGCGAAGTTTTGCTTGGAGAGTAAAGCTAAAAAACAATCAATAAATAACAATAAAATCATTACATTCATAATTATTCTCACAGTAATATCGTGGACCATCACAATATATCGAATTACAAGTCTCTTTGCTTAAATGAAGAGTTATGATGCAGCAACAGCTAAAGAAGACAGATGGAACTACATAGACCATGATCCTTTGCTCCATTTCAGTGCAGACGACAAGAAGAAATAACAGTTCTAACACTTTTAAGTCTTAGTTGTTTGGATTAAATCTTGTCAAGGCATTTTAAGAGGAAAAAGTAGCACATTAACATCTTTGATAGCCAAAATACCACAATAAATATGGTACTGTGAGATGTTTATTGTGAAAATATTGTACAGAGAGATTTGGGTATTGTTACATTACTCTTTAGACCAGGGGTGTCAAACATACGGCCCGGGGACCAGATCCGGCCCTCCAAGATCTTTAATCTGGCCCTCGTCTGATTTTCTACTAAAATATTTTAATTATATTTTCTATTAAAATATTGTTAATTTTCTGCGGTGTTTATCACAGCAGCGTCTCCAGCGTCTCTGTACGTGGCCCCTCCCACCAGAGCAGCACAAATGAAGACTTGTCTCTTTCCAAACGCTCTTAAAGGACGATCGTTTTGACTGTTGACCGTGACACCCTCATCAGAAAAATGTCCAACATGATAAAAGTGGAGCCGAGTGCCGGATTTTCCAAGAAAAATTGACTTATTCTTATTTACATACAAGTTAAAGGTTGTATAGAGGATTTTAAAGGAAACAGAAATACAGCGACAGTCCTTTTTTAAATGTGCATGCGTGACACCACCTTGCTCCTCCAGTAGAAACACCTCCTCCCGCCTCCTTACTCTAGAAATCACACTTGTTTACAGCCAGTGCACGTTCAGAATTTAGTGACCGATGCATCAGTTTTTAGACCCTTCGTCTGCTTCAGTCGCGCCATCGCTGGAAGGAATCTCCAAGAATCACCTCAGTTTGGCTTCGCTCCTTTTCCCCTTCTCTTCTTCTTTCAGCGACCTCAAAAACCGACTTTCTTTTGCAGCGAACTGGTCGTGGATTCTCGTTCGCCATCTCAACAAACTTTGTGCAAACTGTGAGGAAACTACAGTTTTAAAAAGCCTCTAAGAACCGCTGCATAAACCACATAATCCCTGTGACACTAGAAACGTGGGGAGTTTGATTGACAACCTAACAGCCAATAGAAAATGAGTCAGCCTCGTTTTCTATTGGCTGATGTTTCTCTGGCCTCACTACGTCCACAGTTGATCGATTTTCATTCTTTTTTTTTTTTTTTTTGGTCATAATTACAAGGCTGCTGCGTCTCTGTAATGGTATTTTAAGCTTTCATTAACAATTTGAAACAAACAAAAAAATCCTCCATACAACCTTTAATGTTAAAACTTTGTGTTGAAATTGTATTTTTCTTAAAGTTTCAGGTTGTTCATAATATTATAATATTTTGTAAAAGAAAGAGTTCATCAATTAAAAAAGATTTCTGTAATAGATTTGCATTTCTCTGCACAAATATTTTAACTTATTGCTGTTTTTGGGGGATATATGCCATTTTTTTTTTTCCCGGTCCCTTTGGGAATAAAGTAGGTTGGATACGGCCCCCGAACCAAAATGAGTTTGACACTCCTGCTTTAGAATCACATACAGCAGACTTATGTAATACATCTGAACTGGGGCGAGACACACTTGGCTCAAACACATGGAGGAAAAAAAAGAAATCGTGCCTTTAGCAACGTGGAGTCTAACCAGTTTTATCCAATTTAAAGTTACACAAGTGTCTCTCCTCTGACCTGCTGCTTTTCCATATTGACTCATTGACTCAAATTAGTGCCGCTCATTGGGTTTGTACAGGTCTATTCTCGGCCCAAAGTCAACATCCCGCCTTGGCTCCCACTCCTGGTCCCGGTCTTGGTCCTGGCCGCGATCCCGGGACAGTTGTGTAACGAGGAAACCACATCTGGAGCAGCGTGAGCAGCCGCAGCCTCGTAAAACTGCAATGTTCCCTGGATCCGCGACAAGTCTGAGGTTATGTGGGCCGATTGCATAAAAATTACCAGGAGGAAGACGCGTGCCAACTTGTGTAACTGAGACTCTGCGGTGACATCCAAGCCGGGGGTGTTCCGCATGTGTCTCTACTGGCAGAACATTAAGCTGTTACTATGCTGACGCGAGGCCGATGTCAGTGCAAAAAAACTGCCAAAAAAGTTATAATACAGTCAAGAAAAGATACAAAATGGGCTTAAACAACATATTTTCAAGAGCCTGTGATTTGTGTAGAATAGGGGGGATGAGATTTTCAGAATAAAAACTAGCACATTCTCGGTTGGTAGTAATAAAATTGTGGAACGAGTGCGTAATTAAGGAAAACTCTTCTGCACTTGGCCCACTCTGGAAAAAAAAAAAAAAAAAAAAAACTAAATTAAGAATATTTTATTATATTTTTTGCACTTTTTTCATGGTTTGGGTGTTTCCTGTGACTTATATATTAAAATGTTTGAGTGAAGTGTGGAGAGGTTCTAGTCTTGTGTGTGAGTATCTGCTGCTCCTGTTCCTCCTGCACCACTGTCACTTGGCTCTACTGCACATGTCTCCTGCAGAAAGAGCCTCTGTTCTGTCTGTATCATGTCAGTCGATCGCACCGTTACTTCTGCACCACTGAACTATTTAACATTTAAACAAACTTATAAAGACAAAGACTGAGAAGACTGAACATAAGACTGGAAATCATATTCTGCAGATTACAAACTGCAAGTCGTGAAATCTGCAGCTGAAAACGATAATCGAGCAGCAGAAAGAAAGTTTGGAGTGAGAGAGAAACTTGTGACACCGGGAGGATGCACCATGAAACTTTCCTGGAGTCACTGTATGGACGGACAAAGTCTGGACTTCAGTGACACCGAAACCATCCTGTCGGGATTCAGAAAGACCTGAATAATTCTAACTGGAACTGATGCTGAGTCTGACGACAGCGACACAGAAGAGGAAGCGGCGCTCTGTTTACCTCCGGAGGTCGAGGACGAGTTGTTCAGAAGTGACACCGAGGATGAAGAATTGAATGGATTTAGTGATTTGGAGTGAGATGGAGAGTTTGGTAAACTTGTTCTGTTCTGTTGTTTATGTTATAGTTTATCTGAAGAACTGTTCATATGTGACGTTAACAGTGTTGTTCTCTCTTCTGTTGTTTTTACTACAACTTGACTTTTAACAGGAAATGTCGGTTCCTGGTCTCTGATTTTATAAAATAAATTTCCCCCAAAAAGTGTGACTTATAAATGTTTTTTTCTTCTTCATTACACATTTTTTGGCTGGTGTGACTTATACTCCGGAGCGACTTATAGTCCGGAAAATACGGTAGATGAAATATTGTAAATTGTAGAGGCAGGATAGAAATAAATGATGAGTCTTCCTACTTCTGTTTTGAAGATTGAATGTTTTTAACAGTTTTATTCTCTTTATTTTGTTTGTTTCTTTTTTGTTAAATGTGGAATGTTCTGAGAGTATGTAGGCTATGGCCCCGTCCACACTAGTTTGTATTCAAGTTGTTTTCGTTGTGGATGCAGTGTTCATTCACACTAATCCGACTGAAAACGGCTCCAGACACGGAACGATCTGGCGCCTCCAGCTCCCATGAATTTATGTTCGTACAGATCTGATCCGTCACTGTGTGGACACCTGAAAACACTGATACTCTGATGTAGGTCTGTGCACCGCCAAGTAATTAAAAGAGTTTTTGATTCCATTTAGATCAGCATCTCATTTACGTCACACTGAACAATCATTTTTTAATGTTCCTTTAATAAAAAACGAAATTGGCCGCAGAGCATTTAACTAAGTTCAAAGCTCCAAATGAATAGAACAACTCACCCTCCTCAATTCGATCAGTTACGTCAATCCACCGGTTTAAGGCGTCAGTCTTCAGATACAAACAAACATCCTGCTCCTTTTTTCGATAAAAATACATTTTTGTTCTATGCACTTTCTGTTGTACATAGAGTTGCTTTTTCCCCCCACAAATTTACAAATATAGGTGCGGTGCAGGTCTTTGAAATTTGGGAAATAATTTTTGTTCCATGTTTCATACATGGTCTGTTTAAAACGTATTTAACTTTAGAACCAAAAATGGTACAGAAAAAAGGTCAACAGTTTCATAAACTAGAGTACATATGTATCTGTTCAATACATTTTTATATCAGATGCATTAACTTGAATTTTTGGCCTTGCTGTTTACTTCTGCTTGACCGGGCCCTTTTGTAAATGCTGCTTTTGTTAATGTATTAGGACCCCCTCGCAAACGAGATGCTACATCTCAAGGGGCTTCCCTTATAAATAAAATTTAAAAATGTAATAATTCACTGCCAAAAAACTAAGAGGCTAGAATATCTGTCCATTCATATAAACGTGTGTCTGTGTGTCTGACCTGCAGACGTATAATCTCTGAAAAGTTTCACATGAACCATCTCCAACACGACAGAAACACAGAACAGACTCACCATCAGCAGAACACCCCTCTGTCACAGAAAGAACACTCATATTCCACTGAGTCGTGTCCTTTAGTCCAACCGAAACTGAACCGTATCAGCGCACAAGGAGCGAGCTGGTTTTTTTTTTGAGTGCTCAGTGAGTATGTAAATGAGCCGTGTCGTTTTAAGTTTCATTTCTGTAAAACGTAAACAAATGTGCTCAAAGCTGTGTGATTAGGGAAGGATTGCGGACACAGAAACAACGTGTCTGGACGCAAATCGTTTCTGATACGGTGATTCGTTTCAGTAGGTTCAACGTAACCTACATGTTGTGCCTTCATACCTTTTTTATATTTTTAAATGTTCAAATAAATTAACTCTAAGTCTAAAAGACAAGACAATGCAAAAGAGAAACGTGCACTTCTGCACAATCTGCAGGGTTATAGTCAAAGTTAATTTCTGCACAAAGCTGCACTACAGACAGGACCGGACATAATGGGAGGTTGTTGGGAGAACAGAGTTTACGCTGAGTAAACAGACCTATTTAAACAGGCCTATTCAAACAGACCGAGCAGAAGCGCTTTGTCCAGTTATCGCTCCATGAGTTTCCATTGCGCTGAAGTTATATAACTCCTCATCTGACGCTATGTTCGACCCTAAATAGGACATGTTATGATATTCTGTTGATTGTAAAGCACAGTATTGATCTGAAATGTGCTAAGAATAAAAAGGCTCTGTAGATTTCCTGTTCAAAACTGTAGAACTGATAGGTCTTCTTTTTTTTTTTTGCAAGTGTGTATCAGTCTAGTCTAGTGTGACCAGACGTCCCTATTTACCTGGGACAGTCCCAGTTTTGAGCCTGTGTCCCCTGTCCCAGTGGAGTTATATTAGGGATGGACATGATTAGTCGATTAATCGATAATTGATCATTAAGAATTTCATTGATTAAGTTCATTTTAATCGACAAACTGAATGTAGGTTGCTGTGCGTAGTGTAGGGTGACCAAACGTCCGTGTCCAGGGACAAACAGGTCTGTACATGTGTCTCTCTGCCCTCAGAAGGAGCGAGACACAAACACTTGGTCAGTCTGCAACATGCCGAAGCGCAAATGCGTATTTATCGATGACTTGTACAAAAAAATTCCGAGGTTTTCTGTTCCGGTCGGGACAAGTGTGAGGCCATGTGCACAGTGTACAAAGCAGCACATATGTTTCAGTGTCCAGTGGGAAAAAGTTCACCAGGACACAGAAAAACATGAAAAAGTTTTGCCAGGTGAGAGTCGCTCAATGTCGATGACGAGGCCCCACCCCCCGTACGGTGTCCTGGTTTTGACAAACACAAATATGCTCACACTAACCTGTATTCACCTGAGTCGTGCCACATCAGCGACACAAGAGCTGTAGTTTTATCTTCGCTTAGTTTATGCAAATGAGCCATGTGGTTTTAAGTTTCATTTCTGTGAGACTTGTGCAAATCTATATTAAACACATTATAATGTCAAATAGGCTGATGTGGCTCTAGAGTGGTTATGGTTTATATGTCGTAAAGTTTAATTTATTTCTGCAGATTAGTAGTGCAGATAGTAATAATAATGATGATCATTTTAATATAAAAATGTTAATGATTAATCGATAATCGATCGTTAATTCTCCCGACGATCGATTAAGAACATTTTATCGAATGCCCATCCCTATTTTATACAAAACCAGAGATGTGTCCCAGTTTTATACAAGAATTTCATATAAACCAGAAGCGAGGAGAAAATTCAGTTTGTCGACTGGACAAAAGTTAGTTTGGTTGAAGACGTTTCGCAGCTCAACCAAGCTGCTTCTTCAGTTCCCAGAACTAACTGTTGAACCTGAATATTTGAGAGAATGACTATTTCCAGCAGCAATTTCACACTTTTCTGAGCTTTCATGTGGACGGTGTAGAGTCCCAAATATGGTCACAGATCAAATGTGAACTTTTTGGCCTCTTCTTTGGAGCCTCGGTTCCCCATGTGGCACAGTTAGATGTTGATCAGATTTTTACTAGAGAAACTTTGGCATATTCTGATTAGTTTAAAGTAATAAAAACATGTACTATCTACTCCTAACTTCCTTCATTTCAAGTTCTCACAGGTCATTTTTGGTGGAGCTTAGGTATTTTTCCACCTGCTAGAAAGGTTAAATTATCTTTACTAGACTTAAACACTAATTGCTTGTTATAAGGGAAGACAACTGGAGATTATCTGTGGTACATTTGTTACTAATTTTTAGAAATATGAGATGACTCTTAGGGGAGATTCCTTGTAAACGGCTGATTTCATATTTACGGACTCTTATGCAGGGCTAAAGGATCTGGTCGACCAACATCGACATCATCATTGAGCTTGACTTTGTAGTTTTTAAGATAATTACTAATAAAACGATGTCAGATTTTTTGGGACACTTTTGAACCAAAGAACAGAATAACCCAACAGAAGACACAGGAGCGTGTATTATCTCAAAATAAAGGTTTTAATCTTGCAGAATGTTACAGTTACAGTGCAGGTTTGAATCTCAAAATGGCGTCTTAGGTAGTTTCACATTGGACAACATAAAATCATTGAATTACCACCAGCCTTCTTCATACGGCGGCCGGGTCAGAACAGTAAAAAATACAAATCGTAAAACATAATTTCACATTTCGTCAGTAGGGGGCAGAGTCACGGACGTCTTCAGATCATTCACACTTCGTTCGTTGCCTCTAGAACTTTACACTTCAATTATATGACGTTATAAAACCTTTGACATGTTTGGTGTTTTTGTTTTCGTTGAATAAAGAGGCAAGGTTTTCGTTTTGTTGCAGTGGACGGTGAAACTGTACATGATTTCACTTTCATAAAATCGTCACAGCCAAAGGAGCGGATGTGGTCAGTCCATGTGTCATTTGTTCGTTCGTTTTTCAAAATAAAACCAAACATAAGAAAACGAAAAAACAAGCAACTGTTTTCTTCATTATTTGTCTCTAAAACCAAAATGAAAAATGGATAAAGATTTGTTTTTTCAGTTTTCAATTTTGTGTTTATGTTTCCGTGACTTAAACTGCGATGCTGGACTGAACCAGGACTAAAACTGGTCTCAGTCCCGGTCTGGTCCCAGTCTAGTTCCAGTCTCAGTCCTGATCACCCGACATTGTACGTGGGCGCTCCGGGCCCGTCCTGACACTCAGTCCTAGTTTAGTTCTTATTTAATCCTGGTTTAGTCCTGTTTTAGTCCTGTTTTATTCTTGGTTTAGACCTGGTTTAGTTCCGTTTTAGTCCTGATTTATTCCTGGTTTAGACCTGGTTTAGTCCTGATTTATTCCTGGTTTAGACCTGGTTTAGTCCTGTTTTAGTCCTGGTTTAGACCTGGTTTAGACCTGGTTTAGACCTGGTTTAGTCCGTATGCGGTGCAAAAGTCCGGCATCGCAGTTTAAGTTTCAGAAATGGGAAACGGCCGTTATCTGTTTATTCATTTTGGTTATGGAGAAAAATAATGTAGAAAATTATTATTTTTTTTTTTGGTTTGTTTTCTTATTTTTGGTTTTATTTTGAAAAAACTAATGAAGGAACGATACACGGACTGTGGTCAGTAAAAGAATTGTGACGATGATTTATTGTTAATTACAAAAATATTGAAAATATTGATAAGATTTCCTATTTATTGATGTTATTCTGTGCTCTTCTTCGTGGTAGTATTTGTTGTTAAAATTGGCAGACTGGTGCAAAATAAAAACCCAAATGGTGATTGTGACGCCCAACACAACTTCCAGAGTTCGGTGAATAATTTGGAGTTCCTGGTGCTCGACACGGTTATTATCAGAAAGCAGAATGAGCCTCACACGACTCTCTCATTTGTGTTGAAATCCAGTTAGTTTAAAATGCCTCTTTCTGATCTGAATATTCATTCTCTAAACTCCAGCTCCTGCACCAATCGTAAATCAGTGCCAGTGCAGCCGCTGCAGCTCAGAGAGTGAATTCCCGAGGTTCTGAGCTTCCACATTAAGGCACTCGTAACCCAGGTTCAGTTGTGATTGTATTTTTTTGTGTTTTTTTTACTGCTAAAGCACAAACTACAAACCGTTTCATTACTACAAGCGATAGTTGGAAAAACATGTTGCATTAATCACTTTAGATCTGAGCCTGTTTGAGTCCAGACGGAGTTCGGGAGAGTTTGGGTGAAAGGTAAATGAGTGCGTTTACATGCGCATCAATATCTCAGTTATGAGCCTTATCTTGGTTATGGCCGTATCCTGGATCTGGTGTTTCCCTGCGCTCAGAGAATCCCGGACACTCTTATCTCTCTGCACACGCCACATCAGAGTATCCGGGATATTTGCCGTCACAAATATGGCACAGATATGGCAAGAAACTAAACATGGATCAAGTGAGTATAAAATATTATTACGTTTTAGGAAAGTAAGAGCTCCTACTGTTTTTGTTACTTGAGTTCGCACATGCTCAGTACAGCACAGGTTGTGAAAAATCAAGATACTGCGTCTACAGGCCTCAGGATCCTGGCCAGGCAGGCGCCACCTAGTGCCTCCGCTCAACTTCATTTTTCTCCAGCGACTAGTTCAGGAATCAGAAAACACTAGACGGTTTACAAAAAAACCTGAAAGTGTGAGTTTGAGCACCGACCAATCAGCGAAGAGACAGACATTCTGTGTTGGCAACGATTCAATCGAGGATTTAAATCGGGAACAAAAAGAATGTTTGTTGAATTTCATCAAGGGGAAAGACGTTATTGTGCTTCTTCCTACGGGATTTGGGAAAAGCTTAATATACCAGTTATCCCCCGTTTGTGGCACATTACATACATCACAACCAAATAGCAGCGATTAAATTAAAAAAGTACCCGCCTACATTGAGCGAACGAATCCTAATGCTGCAAGGTCAGACGGTTTCCACGAAGTGAAACTGGCTTATAAACCAGGATATCAGTATCCTGGATACTTTGAGAAATCCCTGTGAGAGGATCCTGGTTTCTCATAACTGGGATACTGGCACATCCTGGAAACTGAAATCAGGATACTGCATCTACATGGACACTCACATAACGAGGAAACCCGATCATAACCGTGATACTTGAGCGCATGTAAACGCACTCATAGGCTACGTTCAGACTGTAGGACTTAACACTCAATTCGGCTTTTTTTGTGAAATCCGATGTTTTTGTGTGGTCGTTCACATTTCCAGTTAAATGTGACTTATATGTGACTCCAGTGTGAACATTAAACGACCCAAAATGTCCCACATGTGACACTGGAGACACGACGACGTCAACCGCAGCGAGCGTCTCTGTGTTTACGGAAGTTACATTAGAGCACCTGGAGATTTTAAAGTTCCTCTCGTACCGGAGCCAGAACATGAACAACTTAAAGAGGAGATTGAGAAGGAAAAGGATGAGGTTTTTGGTCGTGGTGTTTTGTGGGACAGTGTCTGTTGAAAGGAACGTGTGGATGTGGAGACGGAGCCAAGAGTGGTGAGTGGTGATGTGCTTCACTTCATTAACAATTTTCTCCTACTTCAGCGCAGAATAGTGACGTTTGTGGCTTGTTGATAACGTGTAGGTGGATGAATGCACCTTGGCCGTTCAGACTGAAGTCACATCTCAAAAGATCAGATATGTATCGGTTTCAGGAGCACATATCCAAGTGTCCTGGGTCACATTTGAAAAAATCGGATCTGTGTCGTTCAGACTGTCATTAAAAGATCAGATACAGGTCACACAGGGGCCAAAAAATCAGATTTGGGTCACTTCAGGCTGCAGTCTGAACGTAGCCATAGAGTCAGAACTGTTGTTGTCTCATCTACTTTCAAATACGCACAGGAGATTTGGGTAATGGCGAAAAAGACAAACAGATACAAGCGGTCAAAACGACTTCGTCCACAGGGTGACTGGGCGCTCCCTCACAGACAGGGGGAGGGGCTGTTACACAGGAGGAGCTTCGAGTAGAGCCACTGCTCACAAAGATTTCAGGCTTTAGTATTTCTGTCCACAGTCCAGACATGTGGGGCTGAGCTTTGACAGAGGGACCCCCAGACTCCCCTGGCTTTCAAAACTAATCAATTAATTCACTATTCTGCTCAGAGATCCTATTAGACCACAAAGGGTTTAGCAAAAGTGCCCCATCCGACACGTTGCCTGTTACCGAAGTGACTGAGCCTAAAGTCTGCGCGTCTTTCCTCAGAGTCCTCCTCCTATGTTACATTAGAGTCCGTGCTGTTTCGTCCCCCCCTCCACAGTCCGCGAGGACGCCCCGCCCCCTGCCGGCGGGTTATTTGATCCCTCGGTCACTGGGGCCGTTGGGTTTTGAGAAGGAGAAGAGCTGGAGCGGGAGAGGAGAGGTCCACACGATGTCCACGGAGAGAGACTTCCTCAGGTCCAACGGCAAACCTGCCAAACACACACAACATTTAACTGCACTGATCTTTAACATGATATACCGTATTTTTCGGACTATAAGTGGCACTTTTTTCATGGTTTGGGTGTTTCCTGTGACTTATATATTAAAATGTTTGAGTGAAGTGTGGAGAGGTTCTAGTCTTGTGTGTGAGTATCTGCTGCTCCTGTTCCTCCTGCACCACTGTCACTTGGCTCTACTGCGCATGTCTCCTGCAGAAAGAAATCCCTAAATTTTTCTTTCTCATTACTGTTTATTTTGTACGATCATAAACGATCAACTTTGTGCCTTCTTCATTGCCTGAAGAAGCAGCTTGGATGAGCTTGAGAAACGTCTTCAAACAAACTAACTTTTGTCCGGTCAACAAACTGAATTTTCTCCTTGTCCTGGATTCTACTTGGACGACTGAGGGATTCTTCACAAAAACTTTCCTGAAGTCACTGGATGAATCGACAAAGCCTGGACTTCAGCGACACCGAAACCATCCTGTCGGGATTCAGAAAGACCGGAATAATTCTAACTGGAACTGATGCTGAGTCTGACGACACAGAAGAGTTTGCGTCGCTCTGTTTACCTCGAAGCTGAGTTGTTCAGAAGTGACACCGAGGATGAAGAACTGAATGGATTTAGTGATTTGGAGTGAGATGGAGAGTTTGTTAAACTTGTTCTGTTGTTTATGTTCTAGTTTATCTGAAGGACTGTTCATATGTGACGTTAACAGTCTGTTGTTCTCTCTTCTTTTGTAGAACTTAACTTTCAACAGGAAATATCGGTTCTTGGTCTCTGATTTTATAAAAGAATTGTGACTTATATATGTTTTTTTTCTTCTTCATTATGCATTTTTTGGCTGGTGTGACTTATAGCCACTTATAGTCTAAAAAATACTCGGTAAATGGTTCCTCTTCTCATTTACCCAGCTGAAGTTATTTTCAGAAAGCCACTGATGCATTCCCACTCGTCTGTACTTACGTCCTTCGCCGGTGAGATTTTCTTAATTGGTTGATACGATTCAAATTAGTCCTGGTTTATTCCTAGTTTAGCCCTAGTTTAGACCCAGTTTAGACCTGGTTTTAGTCCTGACTTTAGTCCTGGTTTAGTTCTAGTTTAGCCCTAGTTTAGACCCGGTTTAGACCTGGTTTTAGTCCTGACTTTAGTCCTGGTTTAGTTCTAGTTTAGTCCTGGTTTAGTCTTAGTTTTAGTTCTTGTTTCAGTCCTGGTTTAGACCTGGTTTTAGTCCTGACTTTAGTCCTGGTTTAGTTCTAGTTTAGCCCTAGTTTAGACCCGGTTTAGACCTGGTTTTAGTCCTGACTTTAGTCCTGGTTTAGTTCTAGTTTAGTCCTGGTTTAGTTCTAGTTTAGTCCTGGTTTAGTCTTAGTTTTAGTTCTTGTTTCAGTCCTGGTTTAGACCTGGTTTTAGTCCTGACTTTAGTCCTGGTTTAGTTCTAGTTTAGCCCTAGTTTAGACCCGGTTTAGACCTGGTTTTAGTCCTGACTTTAGTCCTAGCCCTAGTTTAGTTTCTAGTTTAGTCCTGGTTTAGTTCTAGTTTAGTCCTGGTTTAGTCGGTTTAGTTTTAGTTCTGTTTCAGTCCTGGTTTAGACCTGGTTTTAGTCCTGACTTTAGTCCTGGTTTAGTTCTAGTTTAGCCCTAGTTTAGACCCGGTTTAGACCTGGTTTTAGTCCTGACTTTAGTCCTGGTTTAGTTCTAGTTTAGTCCTGGTTTAGTTCTAGTTTAGTCCTGGTTTAGTCTTAGTTTTAGTTCTTGTTTCAGTCCTGGTTTAGACCTGGTTTTCGTCCTGGATTTTGTCCGTTTAAAATGAATTAAATCTATTCTCCATGTTTTTCAGACCGTAAAAAATCAAGTACAGCGTCTTTTCAACATTTTTCTACTCTCATTTTGGTATGAATAAAAAATAAAGCACACTTTTGCTCTTTGTTGTGATGCCGTTTGTGATGATTTTCACTCACCGTGGGCCCTGAAATTGACCAACTTGGAACTTAGTGGGACAGGTTTCTTTAATTTTTGTTATTTTAGATGAATTTTGTGATTTAAAATGGCCAAATTATAAACACAAACACAATATAGATGCACAAGACTAGAATTTCTGAACCATGCTGTATGTTTTTTTCATTCATCTACGCAGCTTCTTCATTTCAGACCATAGACTGTGTAACAGAAGTGTGTCTGAGAATGTCCCTGAGTGTTACCTGTGGGCGTTGCCATGGAGATGCAGAGCTGGACTTGTCTGGGGCTGGCTCTGTCTGACCCACAGCTCTCAGCTTCAGAGGGGAAACCTGCACACAAGTTACATTTATTGATATTTTTGCTGTTAAAGGCCAGATTTTCCCAAGTATTTCTGCAGAATCTGACTTGCCCCAGTTCAGATCTTACAGAAATATTGTAAAGCAGCTCGGTTAAAAGCTGCTACTCTGACACTGACTGACGTCTAATTGTCAGTGAGGAGGCATTTCCATTTTTTATAAAACGTCCCTGAACTCCAACTTCAGCTTTTTTTTCAATATTCCCACACACAAGATTAAGTTTTGGTGGAGCTCTTTTCAGGACAATATTTTCATGGACTGGTGGCGTAGGAGAGGAGGTGCGTGCGGCATGTTTTAGTTCTGGTTTAGACCTGGTTTTAGTCCTGGTACTAGTTCTGGTTTAGTCCTGGTTTAGATCTAGTTTAGGCCTGTTTCATTCCTGGTTTAATTCTGGTTTTGGTTTTAGTGGTGTTTTATTTCTTGTTTTAGTCCTGATTTTAGTCCTGTTTTATAGACCTGGTTTTAGTCCTGATTTTAGACCTGGTTTAGGCCTGGTTTAGCCCTGGTTTAGTCCTGATTTAGACCTGGTTTAGACCTTATTTTAGTCCTGGTTTAGATCTGTTTTAGTTATGATTTTAGTCCTGGTTTAGCCCTGGTTAAATCCTGGTTTAGTCCTGTTTTTTTCCTGGCTTAGACCTGGTTTAGACCTAGTTTTAGATCAGATTTTAGTCCTGGTTTTAATTCTGGTTTAGTCCTGGTTTAGTCTTGGTTTAGACTGTTTTAGACCTGGTTTAGACCTTATTTAGTCCTGGTTTAGACCTGGTTTAAACCTGGTTTTAGTCCTGATTTAGGTCTGGTTTAGTCCTGGTTTAGACCTGATTTAGAATTAGTTTAAACCTGGTTTTAGCCCTGATTTTAGTCCTGGTTTAGACCTGTTTTTTTCCTGGCTTAGACCTGTTTTAGACCTAGTTTTAGATCTGATTTTAGTCCTGGTTTTAATTCTGGTTTAGACCTGGTTTAGTCCTGGTTTAGACCTGATTTAGAATTAGTTTAAAACTGGTTTTAGTCCTGATTTTAGTCCTGTTTTAGATCTGGTTTTAGTCCTTGTTTATTCCTGATTTAGTCCTAATTTAGACCTTGTTTAAACCTGGTTTCGAATTGGTTTAAATCTGGTTTAGACACAGTTTTAGACCTGGTTTCTTCCTGGTTTAGACCTGGTTTAGTCCTAGTTTGGACCCGGTTTAGACCTGGTTTTAGTCCTGACTATAGTCCTGGTTTAGTTTTTAGTTTAGTCCTGGTTTTAGTCTTGGTTTTTGTCTGTTTAAAATGACCTAAATCTATTTTCCATATTTTTCAGACCATAAATATCAAGTACAGCGTCTTTAATACCATCTCCATGGAGACGAGCAAGTGTCAGACCAGGGGAAATGTTACTTAACGCACCTTTAACCCTCCGTCTCCATTACTCATTACAGTTTTTATCACCGCTTTAGTTCTTGACATTTTCATTTTGGCAAGCTCCACGTTTTTCCCAGGCAAACTTCCAAACATATTTTTTTCCAGTCTCGTCTCACCGACTTTGGGACTTTTTCCAATGACATCTCCCGGCGTCTGAGCTCAAGGTTATTTTTGGTGTTTTTTTCCTCCGCGCCGGAACGAGATGTACA